ACAAACATGAGTGTGCATTTGATCTCAGCCCCTCTTTACTCTCATAATTAAATGACAATGGTTGCCGTATATTTTTAAATACATTTAATTAGTTTGTTTTACTGATTACATTTCTCGCTGCTTAACTGTGTTGCTTGCTGGTGAAGGTTCTCAGTCATCCAGGTCATAATCATTCCGAAAAAATTTAAAACAATCCACTGGACTTGGTTTCCAAGTTTGAAGACGTCTCGCTTCCCATCCAGGAAGCTTTTCCAATTCAAAATGTCAGCGTTGACTGTGTTTCTTATTTACATGTAGATGAAGTTATTGATGGAGCTACCATGGCCTAAACACTGGTTTCTACTTTCTATTCACTTAGAAGGTACCTTTGGGTCCCTGCCTGTGTTGTCTGTGGGGTGACTGTCCTCTGAAGTCCTACAGTAGGCTGTGCTCCATCTTCCACCCTATAGGGCATTATATAGTGGTTATGCCACACATATATGTGTCTGATCGTCTAGTTGATTAAAAAATAGTTGTCTCAACATTTCTCACAATGCACTTTATTAAGCAGAGGTCATCCATGGTCACTGGATGAGCACATATATCCCATATTGCTTTCTGGAAGGTCTCCTCGCAAACCATTATAGGATTTGTTGTGGCGGCGTTAAATAACAAAGATGGCGCAGTCACTGTGTGCGGAGGTGGAGTTACATGACCAACGGGGAATGAAAAGTATGGATCATCTGTCTGAACAGTCAGTCAACTGAGTTCACTATATAGTCCACTATATAGTCCCCGCTATATAAGGTGATCAAGGCAGCTAGGGGTTAGGGCAGACGTTTATACACCGTCCTAGTTGATTATGGCAGATAGCTTCTCCCGTTGAGCTATTTTCCACTGGAGGTTCTCTCATGGTTCCTCTCCACTCTCAGCCTCAGTCAAGTTTATTTATAAAACCCATTTCATACAACAATCTGGGCTGATGGGTCTTCGACTTGAAGGGATCAGCTGGAACCCCTTAGAACTTTTTACCAACTGGCATTAGATGATCAAACACATTTACTTTCACTTTTTTGGGAGGGAAGTGTTGGCCTAGTGGTTAGAGCAGTACGCTTGTGCTCTGAGGAGGTTTCAAGTACCCGGTTGTATCCACACAGCCTCCACTCTGGGTCTCTGAGTGAGGCTTTTAACCCCACACTGCTCCCTGGGCGCCGCACAGTGGCAGCCCACAGTTCCCCAAGAGAATGAGACAAAAAGAGAGGTAAATTTCTCCAGTGTGAGATCAATAAAGTTTAATTATTATTATTTAAATACATAGAAATTTTTTATTGTATATCATAGGATTAAATCAAATTGTTTGGACTACATTACAATGAAGTGGATTGTTTTAAAGTAGGGCTGCACAGTGGAACATTTGGTGGTAGGGTTTCTCACACCTTGAGTCCCAGTCTAAGGACTTTTTGGACTGACTTTGCATGACCTCTGGGTGCATGGGTGTGTTTCCCCCCAGGTACTTTGGTATTCTCCCATATTCCAAAAAAACATGAATGCAGGTTGAATTGGTGTCTCCAAATTGTCATTAGTTCTGACTAAATATGTGCAGTGTATCTACATATCATCTCATGAGAGCTGGATTTAGGAACGATATCCCGACTCCTGATCCTTCCTTAACCCTAAACCTGTAAGAAGATGCAAATGGAAGATTAAACCATATTTGAACAAAGAGTGATAAATAGATATGAACTGTATGGGATTCATCTGTTGATGGATTTTGTGCGTCATTAAAAAGAGCCTTAAGAAGTCAAATGCGCAGTTTATTTGAAGTCATGTAGCTGAAGGTTATCTGACAGACCTGCAAAAGACTTTCTTGCTCTTGTGCAAAATGCTATGTGTGAGGTGAAACTGCCAATGCACATTATTCTGAACACACAAAAACTTTAGAGTGACTTCCACGGTGGCAACACCATGACGTGAGAATGCTTTACTCTGCTGGGACTAAGGAGGCTGCCAATGAGAAAATAGATGGAGCTCAGTTTAAAACAAAAATAGAAAACTGTTTAGACGCTGCAGATTATACTATTCCGAAATTTTTCCATTAGCTTCTGGCTGGAGAACAATTTGAAAACTAACATACAACACTACAAGAAGGTTTATCTGAATGGCAGCCTCTCCAGTAGAAGAAGTTTGGAGTGTGGAGTTCCACAGGGCAGCTGTTTAGGTCCTTTACTTTTTTCAATCTTTACTAATGATCTAGCTTGGGCTACAAAAAGTGCCAAAACTGTCCTGTACGCAGATGATACCACTTTGTATTATACTGCACCTTCATGTGGTGAATTAAATCAGGTTTTGAGCCGAGAATTGAATGTTGTATATGATTGGGTGGTGAGTAACAAACTGGCCCTCAACATCTCTAAGACTAAGTGCATGGTAATTGGTTCAAGGCACAAGCTGTCCGCAAGCCCAAAGCTTGACTTAAAGTTTTGTGACTTGACGTTTCAACAAGTTGAAAGTGCCAAACTCCTTGGTGTGATGGTAGACTGTTCTCTCTCTTGGTCTCACCACATTAATTATATTATTGTGAAAATGGGAAGAGCAATTAGTACCGCAAGGAAATGTTGCTCTTTTATGGCCCATCCCCTTTTATGTCAAATAGTTCAGAGTCTAGTGTTGTGTCATCTTGACTATTGCTCTACAGTGTGGACATCTGCTGCCAGGGGTGAACTCAAAAAGCTACAGGTTGTTCAGAACAAGGCAGCACGGTTGGTACTGGGCTGCCACATTAGATCTAATGTCAACCAGATGCATTCCTGCCTTTCCTGGCTTACGGTTGAGCACAAGTTGCTTTTTAATACACTTATCCTGTTTAAGTCAGTCATGAGCAGTAATGTTCCTGCTTTTATATATTCACAAATTGTTTATAGTAATTCTGTTCATGACCACAACACTAGAGGTTCTTGTAATGGGCAGCTTGTTTTACCAGGTCCAAAAACCAATGCTCTAAAGAGATCCTTTATATATAGATCATTACATCTTTGGAATAATCTCACTACATCCGCTACACTGAAAGTAAATTATCTTTTAAAAAGAATCTGAGACTCCATTTGATGCCCTGAAGTGTTTTTGTTTTATTGACTGTTTTATTATATTTGTTCTTGTTTTATTGGCTGTTTTATTTTACTTGTTCTTTTGTACTTCCTATAGTAATTTTAAGAAATTACATTTTTGGAAATGTTTATATTTGTAACTGTTTTTTACTGTATGTTTTTAATGTGGACCCCAGGAAGACTAGCTGTTTGCCATGGCAATAGCTAATGGGGATCCTTAATAAAATTACAAAATTACAATTAAAAATTACACTACAAAATATATAAAGAAATGTCAAATTCTTTATTAGCTTGGCAATATAACTTTACTAGCATTAGCTTTGTATTATATTCTACTAATAGCAAACTATTCACTACATTGTTGATGATAATAACAAAACTAAAGAAATCAGACTTCTCAAATGTATGAAAAGTGGGAGGGCAGAGCTTGTTTTGTCAGTGCCATGCACAAGGCAATGTCTACATGTAGACATGCTCTAATTTTTTGTACCTGTAGTGTTAAACATCAGTCTCACATTAGAATATCATTTCAAAAGGAAAAAGGTATTTCAGTGCACTGTCAGTCAAGGTGGGATCATCCTGTCTTACATACTTAGACAAAAGAAGAACCTCAAAATTCAGATTTAAATACAAAATAATAAAAATTGTGATTGATCGATTCATCAAAATAAAAAAAAATTTCATAAAAAGTATTAAAACATATAAAGTTTACACAACCTCCCATTGAATAAAATGATAAATCTACACAAATAACACAAAACTGAAAAAAATATTATTATTAAATAAAAATTTACTAAATTATGTTTTAGTAAAATGAAATACTAATTTTGATTTTTTATTAATAAAGTAATTCTGAATTTTTTTTCCCCCCCATATTAATGCACTTCGCTAATGAACAGTGAGCCAGCATACCTGTCAACAGGTACAGAGGTCTTACTGAACATTTCCTGAACATTAAAGAAAACACCTGATTTCAGTGATTGCCTCAAAGTGTTGCTTGACAAAACTCTTTACTTGTATTATTAATTAATATATGAATATGTATGTATTTATATGTATACAAAATCATAGTCATGATTTACATTTTTTTTATTTATTATTACTTTTAACAATTTCAATTTATTTTACTGGCAGCTGATTTTTTTTCTGTCTTCCATGGAAGGGTATGTAAACTTTTAAGCACAACTGTATTTATTATCATAAAAAAAACAAATTTTTTGTGCATTTTTTTCTTATTTTCTTTCTTGATTTTTTAAGGCCCCCCCTTGTTCCCCCTGTTTGGCACCCCCTGGGACTGTGGCACTGTTTTAGGGTACCTCTGCTTTAAGGTAAGGTACTGACAACAGTGTATGAATGTGGAGCTGTTTGTAGGTGTGATTGGGTTAACATGTCTTTTTTCTGAAGTGTTTTAAATGGTTGGCATTACTATAGACAAGCTATAGAAGCTCTCAAATTCACTTAAATGTTAGAATGCACCAGTCAAGACCTAAAAGTTGAAATGTAAAGTTGTTCTCCATCAAGCTTTGAGCTTTGACTCTTACAGTGAAGATCGGGTATAGATTTCCCTCTTTAGATTGCATAAATAAGGATGAATACAAATTCCTGATACCCTTTTTTGAATTCATGCCTTATTTTTGGGGGGTTTTTCATGCAATTCCTCCAAAAAATAATTCAAGTTATTTGTTAACATACGGAGGTTCTAATGTGGTACAGAAATTTAAGAGGACTGTATTTTAGTGGAGTCTCACTAATGTTGGGGCTAATTCCCTCTAACTTGCTCTTTAATACCTCTTCATAACTTTTAATGATAAATGCTCTTATTTCTTCACCAAACTGTCTAAAATAAATTGTTCAGCCAAAAATAAACTCTATACCAAGCGCTCAGCCATAACTCAGAGAAGTCGCAGATGGAAGAAATCAGTTTATGTTACCCGGTTTGCAAAAGATTTATTCTTTTTGTAGAAAAAGTCAACATCTGTGTTTTATCAATGGCATTCAAATTGTATAAAAGGAGCAATAAAAAGACTTGGGGAAAAAAAATCATAAGCAAAAGAAGAAACTGACAAATTATTTAAAGAACGCCTGACTTGGAGGCACTTAGGACTTGGCAACACAAGAACACAAAGTTTTTCCAGGTGGTTATAGTCAAGCATCAAAGGCTGTGCTAACAATACTGAAATGAGATGGTATGTTTCCAAACACACAGTTGATATGACATCGAGACACCAAAAGCTTCTGTCTGTCACCGACCCACACTGGGCTCAAGTTTCATTCATATTTAAACAGTCAGAGCAAAAAAAGAGCGGCTGTCAGTCTGAGTGTTTATCAGTAAAATGTCAAAAAGGGCTCATTACGTCAACTATGTACATCAGAAAACAGTAAAAGCTTTTCTCAGTTTTTTTTTTCCTTTTCCAAGGGGATAATTGAAAAAAGAAGTCTGAAAAATTTACGTTTCCTTCAGCCAACTTTCCACACAATTAACCAAATATTGTGTCCACGTCCAGCTGATCAAGTTGCTTCCTTTTTTTGTAATTTCCTACAGGGCTGGCCTCCATCATTCAGAGCTGGGCGAAGCAGCCGAGTCAATGTCATCATTTTCCAGGTCGTTGGGCGAAGCCGATTGTCCTCCCTTCACTCTCTTCCACTTCATCCGCCTGTTCTGAAACCAAACTTTAACCTGCATGTAGAAATATAGGGTTATATATACAGTAAGTTACAAATACAGGAAGAAAATAAACAAATATTTGGCAAATTTGGAAAACATGTTTTATTTCTTTATTCTTGGGTTAGTGTCTCTCTAATTGGTGTTTAATAGCTCAACATATTCTCATTATCAGTTCGTATGAAATCGTACGAAAAGTTATGCACAGTATTTCGTACGTTTTGGATGTTTTTCCGCGAAAAAACAGATCAGTGCGCATGCGCGTAAAACTGGGAAAAACTGTATAATAATTACTTCTTGATGTCTCCAACTAGGTTGCTTGCTGTTTTGTATCTTAGGGTTAGGGTCAGGGTTAGGGTTAATCGTATTTTAAATTCTATGTTATTGAATGCTGTGACAAGGATATCTTGTCTCGAGGCAAGATGTAAAAATACGACGAAAAAAACGTCAAAAACGTACGAAATTACTGTGCATAACTTTTCGTACGATTTCATACGAACCGATAATGAGAATACACTGAATAGCTCCAACACTGATATATAATGATCATCCAACTTTAGGTCTCCTACTTATACATGTTCAATTTACATATTGTTAATAAGATTCGGATTCATATCAAAAAAACATGAACTTTGATATTCTTTTGGTTTTTATTTTATGTTTTTTAAACGCTAAAGGAAAAAGAAAATAGGTAAATATCTAAATAACTGCTGTAAATATATTAAATAAATCCTACACTTGTAGAATTTCTTAAATTGAGTGTATTTACCCCTAATTTGAGTAGGTAAAGGAGATAGTTTTCCAATGGGATGAGTGTTTTCACTCTTAGAATAAGATAATTAGATAATATGCACTTGAAATAAGACAATGCAATTGTTTTTTTTAAATTAATTTTAAATGTAAATTGTCTCGTTCCATTGGCAAAATGTCTCACTTTCCTCAATTTAAGAAAAAAAAATGCACTTATTTTAAGAAAAAATAACTTTTTTCTTGCAGTGTAGTGAAAGACTTTCCTTACAGATCTACAAAACATATTGCTCTTATGGTACAATTTTTGTAACTTCTTCCTTTTTTGAGCTATTCTGTGTGATAAAATTTATGACACACGAAAAACAAAGAATTGACAAGTAATCCCCCACAAATGTGAGAGTGAGCGATAAAAACACAAGGTTTTTTGCACAGTATAACCTGCCAAGACAAAGCTAGCGGTTTTGTCTGAAAAACTCTCAGATTGCAGAGTATCAGATATACTAAAGTGTTTCCGATGCAGGATGTGTGTCTTTCTTGCACTGTGGTGCTCTCTATCACTGCTGGAAAAAATGATCCATACAATGGTATTTACATCATTTTATTTATTTGATCAATTCTATAAAGTTTATAACAGGTAAAGGTTGTTTTACAGTAGGCCATGTGATGTTATAAAGAGGGATGATCATTGTTCAATTCTAAAAGTAATAGAAGGATCAAGGTTGTGGTTTATTTTCGGGAGTTAAGTACAGGAGAAATACATATTAGCCAATGATACATATTCGAAGAGCTGCTTAAGTTAAAAACTGTTTAAAACATAAACTTTTTCATGTTAGTAATAAACCCTTTCCAGACAGATGATCTGAAAATATTGCCTGAAATTAAAACCGGGATCTTCTAAGTGCAGGTTGAATAACTGCAGAGGAATTAGTAGACCGTAGTAGACAGTTCCTTTATTGGACCAAAAATGTAAGTTTGTATCCTGGTTAAATAAATTTCACTGCAGCCATAATTTTAAAGTCACACCAGCTGGAAAACCTAAAGTAAACCTTAGCTCTTCAAAATCTTTAATGTTTTTCCTTCTTAGGCAACATTCTACATGTCTATGTCACCTTTAAAGTGGAAAAAAGGTATTTTGATGTTATTTGTAGGCCTAATTTTTAAACTAAATAGTAAAAAACATTTAAAATCTTGAGAATGTAAAAAAAAATGCTAATGCAAAGTTGGCCACAAATTCTACTGAATCTTAAAGGAGCATTAGTCTGGAAACTGTCTACATATCATCAAAGGGATTGAAATTTCTTAGTGAAACAATAAAGTTGCCTCTCTGAACTGTTGAATTTCTCCCCAGCATTTCTGCAGGTCAAGCGAATGCTTTGGCCAACCTCCGAGCATCTTCCTCTGGGACTCAGCGTCCAGATAAATCTGTTCCCACCTACTGTCGCCTGCTCCATTGTGTCTACTCTTTCCAACCTATTACTGCAAATTCCCTCAAAATGTCACTAGAAGGCTGTAAGAGCTCTGAGCGAGGACTGCGTGAGCACGATGTTAGTGTGTGGGGATGTGTGTCCTTTAGGGAGTCTGGGATTTATATCAAGCAGCAGACGACAGCATGTGTGTGGTCACTACGAGGCGGCCTCATTAGGACGAACGCTGGCTCTGACAGGCAGACTGGGGTTTCATCAAGCAGCATCGCCACATGTTTTTGCCCCATTTCACCGAGTCTTGAGCCGCCTCCCAACAATTACAGCTGCATGTCATTCTGCCCGAACCACAGGCTGAAAAGCACTGTGGAAAAAATGCTCATTGTAATTCAGATGCAGCGACGCTTGTGTGTCAAGATGGCAGCACGACCAAGGGCTGAAAATCTGAACAGGTTATATACACTGGAAAAAATCAAAATCTACATAAGTCATTTTTTCTTAAAATAAGTGCATTTTTTCTTGAATTTAGGGGGTAAGTGAGACACTCTGCCAATGGAATAAGACAATTCACATTTGAAATAAGAAAAAACAAATTAATTGTCTTATTTCAAGTGCACATTATCTAATTATCTTATTTTAAGAGTAAATATCCTCATCCCATTGGCAATTAATCTTATTTACCTACTCAAATTAAGGGTAAATACATTTAATTTAAGACATTTTGACTTATTTCTGTATGGTTTTTGCAGTGTAAGAGATTAAAAGCAGAACTTAAGTTATGAATCCGTTTAATTGGCTCCAATGTTTATTTGTTTTTTTTGTTTTTTTTTTACCACCAATACTTAAGGTTGAGTTAGTGTGCAGGGCAGGCATGAATAACTTTAAACAAACTTTGGATATGTATGTTTTTTCATTTATTAAGAAAAATAGTACGATTTGTGCTACCGCGTGAAGGTTTTAACCCTTTAAAGCCCGATCCAAGAATAAAACAAAACAGAAAATTACTTTTTTTTGGTTTGAAGTCCTTATTTGGCCTTTTAACAAAATATGTAAAAAGAAAAAACTGAAATAAATTTTTGATATTAATAATTTATTACTCTGCGATAAGTCAAGATTATTTTATGTGTAGTCTTCTGCCCTCTGTTATCAGGTATATCTGATTGTGTACAATAGGAGTTTTTACCATTAAATTATGCAAAAGGTGTCAGACGAAGAACATTTCAGAAACCGTATGTATCAAATATAATACATTTGGCATTACAGGGTTAAAAAGTGTTATATATATATATATTTTTACATTTAACATGTAAGCATATATATCCCATGCAACTTTTTCTTCCTTTGACACATTCCTCTTATTTGACTACTTGAGCTGATGTAACCAGTAAATTTCTCCACTGTAAGATGAATAAAGTCAATCAATCAATCAATCAATCAATCAATCAATCAATCAATCAATCAATCAATCAATCAATCAATCAATCAATCAATCAATCAATCAATCAAAAAGTGTAGCTGCATCAGGATACTACTAAACATCTTAAAATTAGACATCTCTCTTTTTCTTTTTACATTGTTTTGAAAAGAGAAAAGCCTTATAAGGACAGTTTTTTGAAAATGTTTCCTTTAAACTTTCGTCACGAAGCTTCTAGTTTACACCTAAGTGTTTTTATTACTCCTAATAAACAAACATATTGAGCTAATTACAGAAAATACATACAACTGAAAGTTTTACTCATTGGAAATCTTTATTATATTTCTTCTAGGCCTCATAGACATGATTTTAATCAATGTTTGATATTATATATTCAGGTGTAGATGAACCAGTAGGTGATCTGTTGTTTTTTACCTTGACCAGCCATGGACCTTTATCCCCTGGGTAAAAGCTAAGAATACAATCCTTTTCACACACCATAAATGAGCTCTAAATCATGTTCACACTGAAGAATTTAATACTAGTCCTAAATAAAATAAATTATGACATGAGGATGGCTTTTATTGTTTAATTAAATTCTTTCTCTCTCCCTATATTCCAATTGCTGGATTTTTGAGACCTAATAGGATCGATTGTTTTTCAGTCGATATCTGCAGTTGGTCATTTTATTTAAAATTCTTCAATCTTGTTGAGTTAAAGGTATATATTTTAGAATAAAAAAAACTGGCACCTGTCTCTCTGTGAGGTCTAGATTGACGGCGATCTCGTAGCGACGGAGTCTTGTCAGGTAGTTGTGATGGGTGAACTCTGCCTCCAGCTCCCTGAGCTGCTCCTTGGTGAAGGCTGTGCGCTCTTTCCTGGCCTTGCAGCTGGAATCCACCTTAAAACTGGAGTCTTGTATATCTAGACAAAGAGGAAAAACAGATCCCAGGGTCTTTATTGTTTTCTGGTGTGATTTTACCTTTCTAATTGATTTAATATGAAGCTAAACTTCCATACTTAAAGAAATAAAATGTGAATTATTAGGTAATCTAGTGTTTTAAAGGAAGTGCATTCATAATTCACACTGGTAGCAGCACTGACTGTTACTACCCCAATTCACTTTAAATACAAACTGCATTTCCAATTAACTATAGTTTAAAATGTACTCATCATGGTGCCAATACGTGCTCCTCTATCTGAGGGGTCATGTTTAATATGTGTGTAAATGTGTGAGCATGTATCATGCAGTAGGCAGAGGCCACCAAACTGGCCACAGAGGGACTGAGTTAGGAGAGGAATGCAGCGGAACATCGTTAAAGCATCTAACAAAAGAACAAAGATGCGGATGTGTCCAGGTCTGACTGACGGATTCCAACAGAAGCCTTTAGGGAAGACCAGCATTAACTTATCTGTGCATGAAAGCAGACATAAAGAAAGAAAAAAAGGCCGGGATATCTCTATGAGAACAGAGAAATATATTCATCATATCGGATAAGAAGAGAATGCAGCAGTGCAATAAATATTAAAATATGAAATAATGATTCATGTATGCTATGATCTATCTATCTATCTATCTATCTATCTATCTATCTATCTATCTATCTATCTATCTATCTATCTATCTATCTATCTATCTATCTATCTATCTATCTATCTATCTATCTATCTATCTATCTATCTATCTATCTATCTATCTATCTATCTATCTATCTATCTATCTATCTATCTATCTATCTATCTATCTATCTATCTATCTATCTATCTATCTATCTATCTATCTATCTATCTATCTATCTATCTATCTATCTATCTCTTTTTTCCCATTTTTCTTTGCTTAAAATGTAGATTTTTGTGTTTTTTTATTTTCTATTTCTATTTATTTACTCATTTAACAATCCTGCAACCATATTGTTTATACTTTGTCACAACACTTGCACAAATAATATATTTGTTTATAAGATACCTTAAATCTCCATTATTTATTAAAAAATATTTATATATATATATTTTATATATATATTTTTAAGCCTGACTTTTATTACTTATTGCACCTTTTCCTTCTTTTGCATCTCCTGTTGTTTATTAGAGCTGATGTCAGTGAATTTCATGGTGAGATCAGTAAAGTCCTATCTTATCTTACCTTATCTTAGTCAGAATAAACACACAAACAAATGAAGGTCAGTTTTCATTTGTAAAACCTGGGTGATAATTGTGTAATTTGTTTCCACATTACAAGTTTCTGCAACCCACCGAAAATTGCTCCTATTTGTCAGAGTGAGTGTTTTTTCCTCATTCTTGCCAGAACAGTTCACCAAAATGGAAAATGTCCAAGGTGAGACATTATATGCATGCATCTGCCTGTAAGTGCAATGTTTGATCCTCGTCTGGGCCGAAAATATTTAAGTGTCACAAATGATGCCCTGTTTAGAGTGTTCTGGTCTAGAGCTGTGTCCAACAATTTACAGTTAAAGTGAACACCTGGCAGGCCACATGCTGACTTGCACCCCCGCCACCCCCTCTTGACCCACTAATAAATATCCTGCTCAGCCAGAGGCTGTAAAACTTGCATGATGGAGGCTTCTACACTCAGCAGGGTCCCAAAGAAAACAGCATTTGGTGCTTTAGGTGGACGGTCTGAGAGCTGTTTAAATCAATCTAAACAGAATTAAAGCCATTGTAATTTAGTAGAGCTGAGGTGAAAATATGTGTAAATGTTGGAAATACAATCAGATATATTTCCCTTATATTAGCTTTCATTTAGCATTTTAAAACAGTTAGATTTCTATGTATGCTTAATAACTAATTAGTAAAACAAAATTGAAGAACAATGCATTTTGTTGATTAATTCAATCAGATTTTTTGCATTAGTGGTGGATTAATGATTTAGAAATTCTTAAAGTTTTTAAGACTCATTATATTTGGACAGAAACTACTAAAAAATATAAAGAAAAACAACAAAAAAAGTAGAAACTTGATTTATCTGTCCTGGATATAATACTTTTATCAACTCTCATTAGACAGTTTTAGCCTATTAACATACCTGGCCTTCTTAATGATCATACTGATGGTCTGCAGAAGCTTATATCAGCATCTCTCACATAAATTATTACAGTACAACCTAAAGTCGAATCTTTGGCTTGACGTTAATGTCAGATTAAAGGATTTTTGCTTTCAAATTTTTGGCAGGATTCCTGTCTGAAACACATCATGACTGCACAGCAGCTGTGTCTGTCATGCAAATGCCTTCGAGGCATTTTCCTAATATATGCTTTCTACCAGCCTGTCAATTTTATAAAGGCCAGTGGCTCTTTTTTTCTAAAACCGAGAGCTGATGCAGTGGTCAGACATGTTGCATGCACTCATTGGGAGATTGTGTTACGGCTTAACGACAGGAAAATGTCAATGGATAAGAATGTAAGAATTGGGCTTGGAGGAAAGTGAATTTACCAGACGTGGTCTGGCTTGTTTTCAGGGGAGAGAGTTGAGGTTACAATAAGGCAAGTAGGGGTGGGGGGTGGGGGGGTCCTCCCCCATCTCTTATTTTAAAAAAGTCGTCTCATAACAACATCTTTGAAAAGAATCAGACGGGATTTGAGTGGATTTGTTTAATTAAGGGACCAATTATCCCCATCAGCAAACAGTTAATTCACTGCCATCACCAGGCACACTTAAGAAGTTTAAAAAGTGAAATGCGATTAAAACATTTTTTATTATACTCTTTTTTTCTTTCACGTTGATCTTATTAGTTTCTCTATCTCTCCATTTTCCTTTTGGGTATAAATAAGTCCAATTCCATCTGTTTTAGCTCCTTTTCACAATAAAAAAGCAACAGATTCTTCAAGTACGGTAATACAGATTTATGATGATTATTTTATGTTATTTAATTAACTCTGGTTTTCTTGCTCATATGTGGTTTTCGATGAAATATTGGAAGACCAGATATCTTTTTGTCAAAAAATAAAACAAAAAAAACAAGACAAACAACTAAAAAAGGAAATCTTATTAATCCAGATTTATAAAACATTTCTGGGTAAAGCAATAGCACATGATTTAATATGTTATCAGATTTCTTTCATTAATTATTCGAAAAATATCGTTAGATAATTTTTTTGTTCTCTTACTGTCAACATATTAATATAGGTAACCCTGAAAACATGCTAAAAGCCAGAACTTTAATGATTTTCTGAACTTGCATGACTTCACATGCAGAAAAAGAAGCTTTTAATAGCAGTTTCTACTGGTATTAGAGGCTGGATTTTATCTTATTTTTTTGTATTCTATGCTTTCAAATTTGGCAAGTGTCAACAAACTTTTAATTTATAATCCACAACTTCCTGTTTCCTGGAGGGATACATCCAGCATGACACAGATGACCATTTGTATTTCAGAATATGAGCCTTTTTAAATAACAAAGATAAATGCTGTTCTGACACTTTAGAATGAATTTAGTTATTAGAGGAAGGAAAATAGAAGATTAACAACAATAGTGTTTCTAAAATTTGCTTGTAAAGTAAATTAAACCATGTTAGACACGGTTTCATTTTACCAGAATGAAAACTGGGGAATAGAAAATTTCACGCATTCAGATTCAGTTTAAATAAACGTTTCCTTTGGTCTGTTTGTCTTTGCCGCTAAAGTTACGCCAAAGACTTTTGGGAATCTGTCCGTCATGCCTATCAGTTACTTTCACCTCCTATTAGCAAGTGTGAAATCAGATATGATGAGTAAATGACATTAAAGTCCAGCAGCTTTACTTGTGCTACTAGTTTCAAAGATAAAAACGTTAACTAACTTTAAGCAAAGTTCACACCCAAGGAGTCGTTAAGCAATATTTTTTTTAGCGAAAAGAAAAAACAGTTTAGATTTTTACTCAATTATCGCATGATTATTATTTTTTTTTGCTGTAATTTGTAGAATCTGTCGGTTGAAAACACTTTCCCATGCACATTTTTTAGCATTCAACGTAGATGCAATGGTTAATAACAATACTCTGTTTCCCACGGATACAGAGACATAATGAGCGATTGGGAAACCTCGTGAATCATTTCAGACTTTTCAAAGCTGCTGGACAATAAGAGGATACAACTGCAGCTTCAAGAGCGACTTGACCACTGAGGTCTTGTCACCTAATCATCTTTCATACAGTAATCCTTAGAGAGAACTTCTGCTGTAAGCTTAATTTGACGAGGAAATAGCGGGAATGTTTATTTTTTCCGCGGTGTGATGCAGGTCAAAGAAGAAATTTTTTTATCTTGAAACAAGATTTAAGGAAAGCTTATAAGTGGCATTGATTTTGCACATATATTTGTCTTAAATGTTGTACATATATTTTTTAATGAGGAAAATAAGGTTGATTTGACTGGATGAAGTTTGTTTTTAACTTTCCACCTAATTCCATCCTGACCTACGGCAGAGCACAACAGACCCATTCCTGTGAAATATTCAAATATGTTAAAATTCTCAGGGACCATGCAAAGTTAAAAGCTACAGACAATGGATGAATAGATGGACAGATATTGTTTTTTTAAGGTTTTATTTCAAGATTGCTTCTGTTTAGAGTTTTTGGATTAAATGTCCAACTGGCATTTTCGTGTTTTTATATTTTTATATGGCTGTACAATAGGTTTATATAGTACTATCATTCCTTCTTCTCTTCTTCTAATGCAATTTGTTTTTAATGCATTTTCTTTATCTCTCTCATATTTTCCCATAAAGCACTTTAAATCACAATGTCCATAAGAGATCCTATGCAGTATACCCTGTCTTGCCTTAAAATTGTCCCTGCGCACCATGACTCACTCACCTGTGACATCTCTCTTCCTTTTGTTTGAGCTCTTCTTGTCTGAGTCAACTGATGCCACGCTCTGGGGTGAGTACTCTCCATCCAGAGACCCAGGTTGCATGCTGCCCGGCAATCTTTCGGTCCCCACGCTCTCCAGCTCAGGACCTCCTCCACTTCCAGTGCCCACAACCGCAGCTGAAGCAGACGGGCAGGCATCGGTCGATCTCGACCGGGTGTCACAGGGGCTGAACTGCCAGTCGCCTCTTGGGTAACCGCCGTGGCTGTCTTGATAGGGTCTTTCGTCACGAGGGTAGGCTGCATGGGGCGCGCTTGGCACCAAGCAGGAAGTGGAGAAGTCCGTGTAGGCCAGAAACTCAGGTTTTTGGTGCATGGAGAAGGGGCCCTGTTGGTAGGGCGACTGCAGGTTGCTTCCTGGGACCCCAGAGTGGGGGTTCCTCATGCACCCCCAGATGGGGTTGCTAGGATGGGTGCTCCGCATGCAGCTGCTGGCTGGCTGATCCATGGTAATGCAGAAGGACTTCACTCAATCTTAAGAGTTCTTCTTGAGCTCAAAGCCTCCCCTGAAAGCAAACTAAAACTGGAAACCTGTATTTTTTTCCTTTTTGCCTACATATAACTTCTCAAAGCTCTCATTTCATCTGCTGCAGAATTCTAACTTCTGTCAGAGGCTGATGATTCTTTTACAGCCCAGAAAGTGTGAGGATAGATACCTTCCAGTGACAGCGCTCTCTCTTTGGCAGTCCCCCAGCGTTTCTGCTCACACTCTCTCACACTCTTTCCCTGAAGGACCTGACTGTGTGTCTCAGCGTGGGAGCTGCATCTGCAACTGCGTGACTCCCTTCTTCGGCTGGTTGTTTTCACAACTCTTCTGAGGCATTCATGACAAGCGAGCCCTCCTCCTTTTTAAACACATAGGTGGGAAAGAGTGGCAAGTTTATGGAGTGAAATGTGAGCCTGGAGGAGGAGGAGCCCCACTCCGTCCACATGTTGGTAGTACCCTCCAACCGACCCGTCCTCATCATCTATTAATCATGGCATAGGGTAGGTGGGTCGGGGGGATTTTATACACAGGTCTAATGGGCTTTCCAGATGCAGGGCTTTTTAAGGGGACATTGTCTGAAAAGAATAAAGCAGGCACCCACCCACATGGGACCTGGAGACCCTGACTTATTTCAGCTCCTTACTGCTTTCTGACACCCAATTTAGTTCCCTTTTTGACACCCTTTAAAGGAAAGTTAACCGTAAACCCCATTCCCTCCAACCCCGATCCCTGGCTGTCCCATCAAATTTGAAAAATCTTTCTGTCCCTTCCTCTCTCTCTCTCTCTCTCTTTAAAGTTGTATATGTGTGGCTGAAACCACCTGGTTGGACTTTCTAAAGCTTCAAGGTAAGAGAAAAACTGGATTCGATATTGGTTTTATGCATGTACTCACACGTCCTGAGGTTTTCTCATGTTAGGAAAACACAGTATGGAATTTCAGAGCCATATTTCATAGATTTATACTGTCTGAGCAAAAACTGTGGTATCAAGATTATGCCTTACTGGCCTGAGATAGAAAGTAACTAAGTGAGGTTTGCCTATTTTATGATCTCCTATTGTTCTGTATTTTATTTCTCCTTCTATATAAAGTTTTGTCTCTAAACTCCTGAAAAAACCCCAACAGATTTTGGACTGTCTTTTAAAATATATGCAACGGATTGGAAAAGTTTATGTTCGTTTGCTGTTTTATCTCAGATTTCAGTTTAAGTTACAGCAACATAATCAGAGGAAATCTATCTCTACACCCATCGTCGAAAACCTTTTCTCTTTTTCTCATGTTACAACCGTTGATTTCAATGTTTTTGATTATGAGTGCATGTGAGGAATCAACACACAATATCATGCAATTGAGAAGAAAGGGCAAATAAGTAATTTCTTGTTTTCTTTCAAACTAAATCTGAAAAAGTGTAAGAAGTCTTTAATTCCAAAAGAATTTCCACATATGTGTGAATCTATTCGTCCTGTGGGTTTATTAGTTTAGTTTACAAGCAGATAATAAAGACCAAGAATGACGGTAGGAAGGTCAGAGATAAAGTTAGGGAGAAGTTTAAAGAAGAGCTAGATTATAAAACAATATCTCATAATTTGTAAAAACAAATCTTATGTCCGTGAAACGTATAACATAATGTGGGCTTGTTGAAAATCTCTGACAGGGACATCAGAACAAATCATTAACTTTCAAAAAAACTTGTCATGATTTCTTAAAATAAATTAACTTTGAATCTGTACCTTAGTAATAATAAAATTATTTAAATTTGAAGATAGACGGCTCGGTGCAGCAGTGATGCGGTCGCAAATATCTCAATTTACCGATCGATCTACGTTCCCACCCTCAGCTATGGTCATGAGATCTGGGTTATGACCGAAAGGACAAGATTAGAAATACAAGCGGCTGAAATGAGTTTCCTTCGCAGGGTTGCTGTGCGCACCCTGCTGTGCACAACCGGGTAACTGGTTACAGTTACCCAGCAGGAGCTCAGAGTAGAGTTGTTGCTCCTCCACGTCGAAAGGAACCAGATGAGGTGGCTCGGCCATCTGTTCGGGGGGTGTTCCAGACATGTCCTATTGGGAGGAGGCTGAGCTGGCCTGTTGTCGCCTTGGGGTCCCCCTGGAGGAGGTGTGTGCAGATCTCTGTTTTGACTGTTGCCCACGCGACCTGGCCCCGTATAAAGCGAAAGAAAATGGATGGATATTCAAGTGAAGTTTTATATTCAACCAAATATTTTTTAATAATGTCTTTCTGTCATGGCTTAGTTCTGTTGTACATTACTTTGCTCCTTGTTTGCTAGTTTTATTGGTTTAATTCCAGTTTTGTTGTAATTTCTAGATTTATGTTCTCATGTTTTTCTGTTGTCCTCTGTTCTTCTTCTTCTTCTTCTTATGAGATTTTATGGCGGTTGGCAAACTTGTGAAATGTGCATTACCGCCACCAACTGATATGGAGTAAAGCAAGGAAACAGGAAACGATTCACCCCCCCCAAAAAAAAAAAAAAAAAAAAAAAAAAATACAATAAAATAACCTGTGTAACTTAAACCCACATAATACTAAATTATACTAAATTACATTTGCCCGTATAATTTTAATTTACTCTAGGTCATCGTACCTCTGCCAGTTTCTGATGGTCCCATTGGTCTTTCCATCATGCTTCCAACCATCTCCCAGTTCATATCTTTAACATCCAGATATTTTTCTGCAGCCTTCACTATTATTTTGATTTTTTCTGTATTTTTTGTCGTCTGAGCAGTACAATTAATCACTTCCACCATGAAAAGAACAAAATTTGTCTTTTTAACAATTAGTGAGTCTTCATCAATTTTTGGAGATTTCTCTAGAGGTTTGAAATTTGCCGTGTGTTGAACTGTAGGTTTGGGTTTTTCTGACTGAGATGGGATCCTTTTTGCAGCTTCAGCATAAGTTATTCCAAGCTCAAATTTCATTTTTTTTATTTCTTCAGACCTTTTGCTTGCTTCACAGCCGCGATAAGCAGCAGTATGTTCTCCACCACAATTACAGCATTTTATTTTAGCTTCTTTTCCACATTTACCATATTCATGTTCTCCTGCACACCTTCCACACCTCTGTTTCCCTTTACAAACTGCTGCAATGTGTCCGAATTTTTGACATTTGAAACATCTCAATGGTGGTGGATTGTAGATTTTGACATTGTAACTGATGTAACCGATGAATACTTTGCTTGGTAATTGCTCTTCCTCGAATTTAATTAGTACAGATAAACTGTCAGATCTTTCTCCGTTTCTTGTTGTTTTTAACCGTTTTACTTCTTTTACTTTTGCACCGCTTATGTTTTCCAGAATCTCTTTTTCAGAAATTTTCAGAGGAACTCCTCCAATGACTCCCCTGCTGATCTTTTTGTTCTCCATTAGGCTGCACTGAACTCTTATCCCGTCAATTTTGTTAATACGTATTGCTTTGCCTTGCTGGGCGCTGTCTCTGCAGTTAATTAGCAGGTCTCCACTGTACAGAATTCTGGCACCTCTGACTTCTCCAACAAGTTTATTGATGGTTTTTGTTAAGTGAACCGGATTCCAGTTTGTAAAAGAGTCTGCCTGATTAACGACTTTGAATATGACTTTGAATTCATTTTGTTGTGCTGTGGAATGTATGGATTGATCATCACTGGATTGTTCTGAACTAGATTCCCCTTTAACTGATCTCTGTTTTTTCCGCTTTTTCTCATTTTTTGATGCTGCTATCTTCCAACCTTCATTGTCACTATTTCCCTCTTCCATCCCACAAGAATCGCTTCCTGTTTCCTCACTACTCACGGCCCAGGACATTTCTCCACAAGCAGAGCAGCTTCAAAACACGCGCCATGCACCAAACGACCAACCGTTGTCCTCTGTTGCCCTGGTGAGTGTGTTTTCCTTTCCCCTTGCCTCCCTCGTTGTCTCCTCTCACACCTGCTCCTTGTCAGCTCGTTAGCCCTCCCTTTGTCTGTCAGCTACATATACTCTCCCTCTGCAGTCACTCCTTGTTGGTTCCTTGTTGTTGCTGGTCCTGTCATCGCTGAGGTCGTCTCCCCTCATCTCTCCCTGGCTCCTTGTACGTGTTTTCCCTCGATGTCTCCATGGTTCTGGTCTGTTACATTTTTAGTTGGATTTTTGGACTGCCTTTGTTAACCATTTTCATAGTTAAACTACAAGTATTCACCTCAGCCTCTCTGCCTCTGCATTTGGCTCCTCCAAACCTCAACCAAGACGTGACACTTTCCCCCAATTAGATCTTTTAAATAAGATGGCGAAGAAAATGCTTTGTTGCTTAAAGGTTTCTGCCGGTATACATTGGTGCCTCCAGAAATGTTTTATAGGGGTGACCAGATAGAAAAACACACATTGAAACCAAAAGCCATAATTTCAGGGTTTGGCTCTACTATTGTGGTAAACCTGCCGTGAGAAATCATAACGACTTAAGTAATCACCTACTCATATCTTGGTTTATTGTGTGATTAATGTTCCTAAGCTTGCTGCACATAATGGGATGAAATGCTAAACTGATGCAGCTACAAATTACACTGGCGAGTGGGGTGGCCAGGGATTTCACTGCATGAAAAGTGGGATTTTCGTCAATATACGGCACTGTAGATTGTCGTGGAACTTCAGGTTAGCGGCAGTTTACGGCAATTTGCAGGCTTCGCCGAAAACTACTGTAAATTGTCAGAAATTGACGTGGAATTTCTTAGGCAGTGTTCCCCCCATGCCTCCCCCCCATGGAATTCTAGGGGAGGCTTTAACATGTAAATGAACATGCTGTGAGCTATACAAATGCAAATCAGGGTTGCAGGGGGGGGTTTTACCCCAAGTGACATCTTTCTAAAAGGTAAGAAAATCTCTGATACAAAGAGATCAGGCTCAGTATAGCCTCTTACATTTTAGCTTGAATTGATTTATTTAATTAAAGTATAGAGACCAAAACAGATCTTTAGCTGACAGAGCAATACATTTAGAGCAGTAATTATTTTTTTAAAAATTTGCATTTAAGATAAAAAATAAAATGTTGTCTGTCAATATGCTCAATTCACAATTACTTAAGTGGAAAAGTTTCAAGAAATGATTCTGAGATGATTCACTTTATAACATGGCGCATTATCCTGCTGGAAGTAGCCATCAGAAGATTGGTACACTGTGGTCATAAGGACATAGGTCAGCATGCTAAATTGGTATTAAGTGGCCCAAAGTGTGGCAATAAATATCCCCCAAATAGATGGTAGAAATAGATCAGGCTCAGTATAGCCTAATTATAGACTCTTACATTTTAGCTTGAATTGATTTATTTAATTAAAGTACGCTAGATTACTGTGTATGCAAATGTTATGTAAAAAAAAATACACAAAATAATTTAT